TGCCCCTGCCTGCCCTGCTCCTCCTCACCCTGCAGCCTCTGCACCCCCCCCCTGCCTGCCCTGCTCCCCCGCTCCCCCAGCAGCCTCTGCCTGGCGGGGGCTTCGGATGTTCAGCGGCGACCGGGGCAGCGCGGGTCCCTGCAGCCCCGGCACACGCCGCACTCCCTGCCCCACGCCGCAGCCTCCTTCCTGCCGCGCGGGGTGATGAGTCCCCCAGTGGCCGGGGAGTCCCCGCCCGTGAGGGAAGCCCGAGCCGTTGGCTGGGCCCGGCCTCCCCGTGGTCCTGCGGGCTCGGCTGGGGCGCGCGGTCCGCCCGGCCTCCGGGGGCAGCAGCGACCCCTTCGCCACCTTCTGCAGCTGCGCCCCCCCTTCCCCCGCCCGAGCTCACTACAATGTAGCCGGGCGGCTGGGCTGCACTGCGGACCCGGCGGGTCGTGCTGGGGCCAGGCGGACCCTGGCTTATGCTGCCTCCCTATTTCCCCGGACATGTCTGGCTTTTTGGCAATTCCCCCCGGACGGGGATTTGAGTACCAAAAAGCCGGACATGTCCGGGGAAATCCGGACGTATGGTAACCCTAGAGAACTCCCTCTTGTGGGGTAGTGTTGCACCATCGCTAGGATGCACACGGGCGGGCTCAAGTCAGGCAGATTCTATGGGCCCGGCCTTGCTCGTTATGAACAGAAAGTTCCCTGGTCAGAGGAGTCTTTGTTAGTCATTAAAGTCAATGGAGCTACACTGATTTATACCAGCTGGGGAGGGCCCATTGACATCCATGGCGCTGCATCAGTTTACACCACAGGGGGATCTGACCATATGTGTACAAATTACTCCTTCCTCTAGGCTTCCCGTCTTCTCCCATTGTGTCTATTCATTGGATTGTAAGCCACTGGGACAGGGAATGTCTTTATTTTGTGGCTTGTCCAGGGCAGAGCATGTTGTCTGGCTTAATGCCTACTAAAATAAGATAGATGCATTGTGGGGAGGGTGTGTGTGTGTGTAGGGGGGTGTGCACACTTGTGAGACACACCCAGCATCAGGCTAACCTTAGATACTTTCTCAGATCCCTGGGGCCTGACTCTCCACTGCCTTGAACCTTGTGTGGCCATTTACACCCAAACACAGTGGGAACCAAGTGCTAACGAATCAGACCCATTGAATTTCACACTCACTTGCCCAAGGAGCAAGGCAGTGGGGACTTGGGGCCCAGGATGAGGTTTCTGACCCTTGCTTTGCCTGATACTCCGTGCTGCTAATTGTTTTTCCATTCTTACCGGTGGCCCTCGGGGACCGGGGTATCCTCGTTCGCCCTAAAACAGAAAGCAAAGGTCAGAGCGGGGACTAGCAGCAATATGATTTCTGTTGCAGAGCAGGGGATGGGATTTAAATCACTGTCAAAACCCATCTATTTGACAAGGGCACTGACGGCAGGGTCTTTCAGGTGGGGATAAAGCTGCTGTGGGATTTCTCAGCGACAGGCTGGGAAGTTAATGTTTTCCTGGATTCTGCTGGCAGGGGATATTCTGTGCTTTTGTTTGTAACTGTTGTCAGGGTGTCTAGAGTCTGTGCACTGACCTGCGCCAGGCCAATTGCTCCAGCTGAGGGTCTGGCCTGTTGTTTGTCCTCAGAACAAGCTGTGTTGCTGGCTAGAGTTCACTCCCAAAACCAACTTGCACCAAAGATATTTTCCTACTCACTGAGAATAAAAAGACCTCTGTGCTGGGGCATACAGGCCCCGCTCTGGCTGGCAGGGGTTTAATGAGGGTCTGTGGCTCCAATGAGCCTCACCCTGCTACATCTGCAGCCAATGTCAGGTATGGAGAGGGGAGTTCAAAGGAGAAGGCCCAGCTTAGTGCAGGGCTGAGCAGGCAGAAGATCAGAGTTCTGCTCTCTTGGGGAGAGGAGCCTGGTTACAGCCAGGAGTCGGGGACAGCTGGCAGCCTGGCTGAGTCTCCCTGTGGATGGGATGGCTGATCTGGGCCACTGACCAAAGGGGGCTGTTTGAAGACATCCCCAGAGCAGAAGCCTGGGGTGCTGATGAAGACTCCTCAGATGGCCCTGTTGTGAGCTCATAGCTTGCTTATATTTTGGGACTTCGAGACCCAGAAGGGATGGTACTCAAGCATGCCTAAGCTGGAGGGCTGAAGCCCATTGCACTGGACCCTGTGAGAGGCAGTGACTTACTGTCAGAGACACTGCGACAGGGTGAGTAATGTCTGGCTGGGCCACAAGGGGGAAGCACAGAGACGGGCCCTTCACTCCTCAAACACATAAAGCCGTCTGAGCAAAGGTGAATCAAATCCCATACTCAACACCTATTCCTACAGTACCTTGCATCCTGCAGGCTCCCAAAGGGTTTTAACAAACTGTACAGACACAGGGATCACTCACCTACCACTGAAATGCCGCCACTTCTGGGATGGAGTGCCTCACCTGTTCCGCACAACAACAGCAGGTTGACAAGATGTAACCACTCAGGTTGCAATTGGGCCACGACACCACTCATGCGGAAAGTTTTGCTGCCCAAGAGGAGGCTGCAGCTAGAATGGGGCATGTACTTGCCCCCCATGCGTCATGCCCGCTGCAGTTGGTTTTGAGACTAGAATGGACCAGTCAGAAAAGTGAATGTTTGCTACCACTGCGGTGTGTGACCCCAGCAGAGAACCCCGGGTCCCAATTTTCCTAGTGTAGATGGATCAGAATTGGTTTGCCCTGGTGTAGATAATGGCCAGAGAGGCAAGGCACTGGAGAATCAGACTCATTTTCTCCTGGCTGTAGGTCACTAAAGGAATTATGTTACTTTCGCTGGGAACTGAGACACGGGACTGGGAATCAGAGCTGTGGGAGAGCCTCTTTGCAGTGTATGTGTGTATGTGTACAGCGCCTAGCACTGTGGAGCCCCACTGGGGGCCTCGAAGGCAATACAGATAATAATGGAAGCCGTGGTACCTTCTGGCCATTCCTTCCCGGTGCCCCAGGAGCGCCCTAGGAGAAGCACAAACACAGAGCTTAGCACAGGAGTAAACAAGATCATTGCAGTTCTGGGTCTGCAGCAAGTGCATCTGGAGAGTGGAGAGAATGTGTGGCATTGGGTGGGGCTGAGTGCCTGCTAGCTGTGGGGCGGGGAGCCAGCTCCGGTGGCTTGGACAGGGGAAGGATGCTGGTGGCTGGAGGTCCAGCAAGTGGATCTGGTGACGGGAAATGCTGCTGGCTGTGGGTCTCTTGGAGAGAAGGGGAGAGGCAGGAAGTGCTTGGGACAGTGGGTCTCTGCAGGAGAGGGGAAGTCACTGAATCTGACTGGGCAGGGTTGGGTTGTGTGTGTGGGAGGGGCCCATCTGCCAGGTCTGGGCAGGGGAAGGAGCCATTGGCCGATGGGGATGGTGGGCTGGACTCCAGCGCTCTGGGGGTGGGGCCAGGATGCATGACCCAGCGAATGGGGCTTTTGCTACTCACCACTGGTCCCCTCCGTCCGATTTTGATATGTGCAAAGTCAGGATACGGTCCCATTGGCCCCATGTCCCCGCGGGGCCCTGGGGTTCCCGAAGGCCCTGGAGGTCCGATTGCCCCTGGACTCCCTTTCTCCCCTGTTGCGCCCGGGTCACCTTAACATAGAAAAAGGTGTTTGATTTCTGAACGAGGCCTTAAAGAAGCAGAGCAACTGAGAGCATTAATACCAGAGAAGGCCCTGGCCCAGGACCCCCTGGCCAGAGGGTTTGGATCCAATCTTTACAGAGGGCCTAGCCCAAACCCCAGAGCCCACTGCTCCCAGGTTAGGGAGCGTTTCTAATCTAGATCCTGAGCAGAAATCTCTGCTTGGGTCCATCTCCGGTTTGTATCCAACTTGGATGTCAGCCCAGCACCCCCCCTGCTCCCTGAGAAGCCCTAGAGCTGTGAGCCCAGCACGGAGAGTGCCAGGGCTGCTCCCCTCCCCAGGGGCGGGAGCTGGGACCAGGAGGCTGGTAACTGAAGGCTGCAGGTTTGAGGCAGTCTAGGCCGGTTTGCCCATTGCTTGTTAAGAGAAGTGTGTCTAACCCCCACTGCCCCCAACCACCACTAGGTTACCTGCCAAACAGGCAGCATTCAGGGAAGTGCTCCTGCTGGCTAGAGAGAGGCCACCTGAAAATGGCCTGGTGTATGCTTAAAAATTTGAATATAAATATTGTCTTTACATTTCAGTGTATTGTATATAGAGTGGTATAAACAAGTCATTGTCTGTGTTAAATTTTAGTTTGTACTGACTTCGCTAGTGCTTTTTCTGTAGCCTGTTATAAAACTAGGCAAATATCTAGATGAACTGATGTACCCCCAGGGTATACCTACCCCTGGTTGAGAACCACTGACCTACACCAATGGGAAAACCCCTTCTGTCACTGTAGGAAGCATCTACAGTACAGCAGCACAGCTGCAGCACCTGTAGTGCAGACACAGCCTAAGCTACCTTCCATCCTGAAATGTGCCAAAGTATTAGGAGGGGATAATTTACTGCTGAAATGCAGCCACCTCTGGGGTGGAACGTAGCAGTCCTCCTGCTCAAGTGACACTGCCATTTTTAGGAAGAGGGGAAAGAACATCCCCACCCACAGGGCGAATTATGGGGAGCAGGATGTAACACTCTGATAGGGGGGCAGAATTATCCCCCTAGGATTAGGTCTGCATGGGCCTCCGCCATCATCCCTGGAGCACTAAGGTCAGTGTCTTCCACTGCACCATCCACACTGCCCTAGGCCCTGCTAGTCTCCTCAGGAAAGGGGCGAGCCATGCCAAGCCCAGAGAGTTAATGCAGCCTGGTATTTCCAGGGTAGTGGGGATCCAGGCTTGAGAAATTAGCCAGGCCAAGAGGGTAACCCCAGCCCAGCTCTTGGCAAAGGTGCCATGGGGACGTAGAATGTCCGTTGCTCGCCCACTGTAGGTGTTACTCCTGCAGGCTGATTGCACCAACCCAACCCTATTGCTTCCCTCTGACAAACAGGATTCTCGCTTGGTCTAATGAAAACCAGTGCTGGGTCAGACCCTCACAGGCATCCAGCGTCTCCCACCCCAGGAATCTCCAGCACCCCAAGATGTACCTGGAGGCCCCGGGGGACCTGGGGGCCCTAGGACAGGAGGACGGTCTGCTGGTTTTTGGTTAATCCTCATCCAGGACTTCCCACTCTCATTATCCAAGCCAGGGAGCAGCAGCTGGGGAGGGGAAGGAAAAGAAGTGCAGACAAGCCCAGTAAGGAACGAGGGTCAAGCAACTTCTGCAGCCTCATGCCCCAGGGGATAGAGTGTCTACAGAGTGATTCCCAGTGCCAAAGGCTGGAGAGCACCATTGAAAGTGGGGGACATAGATTCATCCTCCCCCACACCTGACCCTCCTCTTCCTCTCGCAACCTCCCCAGCAGCCTGACCCCTGGCCCATGAGCACCTACGCCCACCCCTTCCAAATCTGAGTGAGCGGCATTGCAACCTAGCGCACAGGGTCACAGAGCCACTCAGGTTTGGTCCAGCCAAAAAGTGGTCAGGCCATGGCCCAGGTGGTCCCCCTGGCTTCATGGCCTATGCCCAGCAGGCTTGGGAGGGAATGGGAACTTGCTGCAAAGGATATGCAGATTAGCCGAGAGAGGGAGGACCTCTGGAGAGAGGGTCCTGCCCCTTGCATGCCCTTCCCCAATGGGAGTGGCCAGAGAGGCACCTACCCCAGCACATCCTTTAAAAAAAAGCCACGTGGGGCATATTCAGAACAGGTACAAGTGGATGCAACTGCGCTGACTTCCATGGTCTTGTGCCCACTTCGCACAGGTCTGAATGTGGCCCTTGGATCCATTTCTGCCCCGGCTCTGACTGGACTGACTGAGCACGCCTGTGTGATCAGGGCGACCACTTCCTGGACTACCCATTTCTTTTCAGCTCTGACTTGGTGAGATTCGGTTGCGGGGTGGCAGCCCCAGGGGCCCGTAGAAGGTTGCTTCTGCAGGTTTGCCCCAGACAGCTGTTTGTCGGAGCGCTGCCAGCTGTGGCTGACCAGGAATCGGAGAGGCTCAGAGGTCATTGTCCCACCTTGTGTCTCAGCTGGGAGACTGTCTGTTTCATACTGATGAACTCCTCACAGGTGATGGAGCAGGACCTGGTGCCCATCAGGGTCTCCGACTTGACCACTGTGGTGCCTGGAAGAGAATGACGCACCTGTGTCAGTCGGCAGCAGGAATGGGGAGGGTGGACCTGCAGCCACCGGTCAATGGAGCTACATCTGCTTGAGCCAGGGCTGGCGTGGCCCCAGGGTCGGACAGTGCTAGGACACGATCCCTCTCCTGGTTCACGGACTCACCGTTGCTAGATTTCAGGCAGGTTGTCCCGTCAGACGCTATGTAATAGCCACGCTGGCAATGGCACCGGTAGCTGCCCGGGGTGTTCGTACACAGCTGGTCGCAGACGGCACCTCCGCTTTCCACACACTCATCGATGTCTGGGGTTGAACACAGAGAAATGTCAGCCACAGCTCAGCCAGGGGAGCACCAGGGGCCACGGAGGCCTCGTCAGGGAAATGGACGCAGCAGAAGGGAGATTCATATGATCCTGCAGGCCAGGCCAGGACATACACACATCCCTTGGCGATGGCAACCCTAAGGTGGGTCTCTGGGAACCTTTCCCTAGACACCTACATTGGATGCTGGAGCCTAGGGACGGCTGTTACCTGGCATAGCCTCTCCTGCAACAGAGTCCTCCAACCGACCCCAGGCCATGGAAAGATGTCGCGTGTGTCCATTTATCACACAGGAGCTATTCCGGAGCCAGGCCATTGCCACCAACCCAGGCTAAGGGCGGGTACCCTTGGGGGCACTCACCCAGGCAGTAAGGGTGCAGGTGAGTCTTGTGGCGCTCTCTGTCGAAGCGATAGCCAGGGAAGCACGTGCACAGGACGCGACCGAAGTTGTCCGTGCATTGCTGCTCGCACGGGAAGTCGGCGCACACGTCCACGCCTGCAAAGAGGGGCAGATGGAGCCATGCTGGGGGTCAAGCATGGTGGGTTGGACCGCAGCCAGTGCAGCCTTGCAACTAAGAGTGACCCCCCCGCCCCACATGACAGTGCCTTGCCCTGGGCCAAATCTTCAGCACGGCTCTGACTTCCCTGTAAAGATGCAGATTTACACCAGTGGAGGATCCGGTCCCATGTGTCTCTGCATGTGTAAGTAATTCATGGCTGGGCACTCCCCAGTAACTAGCATCCTCAACCCAATCTCTCCCTTCCACTAGGCATCCTCCTCACCTCCCTCTTCCAGCTGCCAAACCCTCCCCCCAGCTCTAACTGGCAGGTGACCCAATTCCTCTCCCAAGCCTCCCAACCTAACTGCGTCAGAGCTGCCCCATCCCCACCCTCTGTCTAGCAGCACCCCAGGTGTCTAGCAAGAGCGCAGACTCCAGACCATCATGCGCTGGACTCTGCTGAGAAGCTGGCGGGTCCCACGTTCAACAGAGACTAGAGATGAGCCTGGAGCAAACCCGGTTCCAAACATCCCTGAACTCATGGGAAGATCTGGATCAGAACTTTGTGACCTGGACCCACCTCCAGAATGAAACTGATGGACCCTTTCCCATCCAACACAAAGCAGAATGCAGAACACCTCGTCTGCTGAAATACCATATGCCCGGTGCTAAAGGTGCGATGTGTGAAAACAGAGAACTGCCATCACGTGGTACAAGAAGCAGCCCTGTCATGAGCCAACATCTCAAGAGCTTTCACCCTTGGAGCAGGCAGTGGAGAAGGCTGCCCAAATCATGCAGCAAAGTCTCCCAGAGTCTTTCCAGGTGGATGGTATCATCCTGGCTTTTGTCTGACATGATCTGTGGCTTTAGTGCCACCTGAGAATAAGTGTGGACAGAGTGAGCAGAATGGGAGAAAGCTCCTTCTTATACTTACTTTCCGGGATACACTGGCCCATCACAAACCTATAGCCCTCACAGCACTTCCTCCTGGGGGAGAGAGAGAATCAGACTATTATTTATTTAATTGTACCACCTAGGAGCCCTAATCATGGCCCAGGGCCGCATTGTGCTAGACGCTGTACAGACACAGAACAGACAGGAGCTGCCAATCTAAGTACAAGACAAGAGACAACGGATGGACACAGACAGATGGGTGAGCACAAGGGAACATCGAGATGCTCTTGGCCTCCATGCCGGGCAGTGGCCTCTGCACACCAGCAGTTTTTTGTAGGCCTTGTGGCAGAGGAGCGGTTTGAGGAGAGACTGGAAGGAGGCTGAGGTGGTTTTGCTGATGTTTACGAGGAGCTCCTCCTGCATGTGAGGGGCAGCCTGGGAGAAAACACAGAGGGGCTTGTTTGAAAATGTAACGTGAGCGCTGGAGGCCGCATTGTGGGCCACTTGCCAGCTCGAGAATCAACGTGAGACTAACAAACGTCTGCCCAAAAGCAGTTCGCTTCTGTCACAAGCAATTGGGAGACCTCCCAGAAACAAGCAGGGCCAGATTCCCCACTGCATCGCTCCGGCATGAGGCCAGTGTCACATTGCTGAAATCAATGGAGACGTGCCAACGAAAGGAATGACTCAGGGTCATGCATCAGCCGTTTTAGGGTCTTGGCTGAATGCTGAAGACCTTATTCAGGCACTGCAATTTACAAGCCTGAAATGAGGACTCTAGGATTTGGGCCTGATTCTATCATTTACATCTCTGTGAGATTATAATCTAGAATTCCTTACATTGCTTATTATCTGTACCCCAGCAACTGAGATCAGGGCCCCATTGTGCTAGGCACTGAGACACAAAGAACCTACAATCCAAATAGACAAGCCAGACAAAGGGGACAAAGTCAGTGCCAGAGCTGGAATTAGAACCCAGATCTCCTGAGTCCCAAACCAGTGCATTATCCACTGGACCATGCTACTTCTCTAGTAGTTATAGAACAGCTTCAGCCCTGAAGAGCTTTACAAGCATTGGGCCCACTTGTGCCCCGTGCCTTCATCTTTCTCCAGCCTCGACTTTTGCTGACGCTGGAGCCTGAGGATGACATCGGGTCACTTTGTTGGATACCTGCACCACAGCTGTTTCTGAGGAGCCCGTGCATAGGATTTTTTTTTCGTGACCTTTCCAAATGTATTCGCAGCTGGACTGATTGTTCCTTCCCCTTTGTACCCCCAAAGAGGGTGGCAGTCACACACTGTACCACAAGGGGGCAGCACCACCACGGTGTCTCTTGTATCTACTTTGTGGCAGAAAAGAACCCAATCTCTGAGTTTGAATCAAAACCAGGAGGGTGGAATATGCTGACTGGCCTCAGCAGAGGCCTTGTTGAAGGGGCGCGAGAGGCAAGATCAGCCAGGTGCCCAAAGCACTGCCCTTTCTTTCAAGCCACCCACCTGACCCGTGGCAATTGTGCTGGAAGTTGGAACCAGGAAATGGAGCATGCTGGAAGCCACCTCTGATGTATGCTGTCCCCTTTAGCTCTGCTGCACTCTAGTTAATAAAAACAGCATGGAGGAGCCAGCGGGACATCTACCATCTCTCTCTCCCTTCCCCTCCCCTGCTCTGTCTCTGCCCTCTCTGTCTGGCTCGGCACACTTCTCCAAATCTGGGTCTCCTCTGAGGCCACCCTCCATGTTACTTCTGGCATTGTGAGGCTCCCAAGGAAGGCTGTTGACCCACTGTGAGTCTAGGCCTCTGCTGGCTCTGATCCCATGGCCCCAGCTCCCTAGGAAACGAGGATTGGAGCAGTGACGTGACCTGCCTATAGTCACGCAGGCGATCAGTCGCAGAGTCAAGAATAAGAACCCAGGAGTCCGACTCCCCTTCCCACGCGCTCAGCGGTCGATTGTTATGCAGCAATAAGGGATTCACTGACAGTTTAAAAACCTTCCATTGCAGACTGAGCCCCTAGTCTCCTGAAGCCATGTCTCAAGCCCTAGAAGGGACAGGCGAACAAGAACACAATGGCATTGAGTGTAACAGGGCACTATGGGGAGCAAAGATGGATTCCCAGCACTGGCAGGGCGTTGAAGCTGAAGTCTGACCTGCCACAAGCGTGCTGCTCTGAAGAAGCTAATTTCTCTGAAGACTGGGCCTTTTAGTGATGGGGCACTGCTTCCCCAGGGGAAGAATGGGTTGGCTGGAGAATAAGCAAGAGCGGATGGTACCCCAGGCTCTAGCCGAATTTAATGTTGATGTCTACAGAAGCCATGTGCTGAGAAGGGAAACCTGTCCACCGCCCTCGGTGCTTTCATTAAAGCCGGGGCAGGCTGTCAACATGAGACACGTCTGTGTGGAGCGGCGTCCTGACGGACTACACGCCGGCAAGGTTTGGAACGAGGCCGCCTGCTTTTAACTCTGCTCTCTGCGCCAGAGGAAGTATTCAGCCCCAGGAGAGAGGGAGCCAAGAACGGAGTCAGCGCTAGAACTAGAGCCAGTAGAAAAGCTTCTGTGGGAACGTCTGTCCCTGTTTGGCAAAAGCTGATTTGACTAAAACAAAATGTTTCCTGGGACTCTCTCATTTTTGGTGAATTTTCAAGGGGAAATGATTGAAATGTTGTTTCGATAAGGTAGAAATGTTTCATTTAGACCTTTATCAACACGAAACATTTTGATAAAGTCAAAATGCTTCAATTGTATTGTTTTGACCCATCTCACCCTGACCAGTCGGCACTGCCACGCTGACCCCATGGGCAGGAGGACGCGAGCCAGCCTAGCCTTGAAAGAGTCTGGTTGTTGTCCCACCTGGTGTAGATGCGGACCCGACACTTGTAGCCAGGTCCTGTTGCCTTTGGGTCAGGTTGCAGGGCTCTATGCCGTGTCCTGCTCTGGGATTTGGACAGGTGGCAGGCTGTGCCAACCAGAGCTGATGATGGACACCAGAGCAGGGGCTGCAGAGAGCTGCCCGGCATCCAGCTCTCTAGCATTAGCGCTCTCCACCGACCTGCCCTCCCTTCCCCGCTTGGTTCTCAGCACTGCACTCCCCAGACCAGTCAGAGCATCATGTACATGATCATTGGCCTCTGTTTCATGTAGCCTTTCCAGTTGAGAGAATAGCTGGGTTAGATGCTATGCCATTCTCTGCAGCACCTCCTGCTGGAAGAGACTGGGACGGCAGTGTGTTTAGTTTCCTGTGCTGCCCACCAGGGAGAGCCGTCACTTTCCTGCTCCCAGGTGTGATTTCCCTGGAGAAAGGCATTTTGGCTTGGAGCTGCCAACCTCTTCCTCGGGCTGTATCTGAGCAGTTTGTTTTCTTGTTGGAGCGGGGTGCTAGGGAGGCCCTGTCTCACGCCTTTCACTTTTCTTTCATCAGAGGGCAGCTTTGCTCATGTCTCTGGTTTGTTTGTTTTACACCCATATCTGCCCCTGTTGCCATGCGTCACATTTTCCTTTCTAAGCTTAATTAGCCTCACCATGAATCTTCTGCCCCATGCTGGGTAAAGTTACTGGATCCCCTCTCCTAGCCAGGTCACAGAACTGCTGGGGGCTGAAGTGGGACTCTTACCGTGACAAAGGACGTACAGCAGCTGGTGAAAGAGCAGGGGGCAGAGGGGGCATGTGGGAGTACAGTTTGTGGTGTACAGAAGTGGGGCCATTGCAGTCGGAGGCAGTCTGTGCCAGGGGTTAGAGCACAGGCCCAAGAACCAGGCCCTTTGGGTTCCTCTATTCCTGGATCTGCCACTGACTCACTCTGTAACCTTACGCAAAAGCCCCTTCCCCTCTCTGTGCCTCAGTTTCCCAGTCTTTAAAAGGGGGATAACACCTCCCATCTTGGTAAAGTGCGTTGAGATCTAAAGCAAACTAAACCAGGCATGGGAGGGGGAGGAGATAGGGGGGAGCAACACCCCCAGAGCCTGAAACAACACTAGCTCCTGCTGCATGTTCTGCCTTCCTGCCACTCAGGTGAGGGCTGGGGAGCAATGGCTGTCCAGCTACTGGGCCTGCTTCACTCTCTAGGGCTGCACAAAGGGAGAGCTGGCCAGGATATGTGGGCAGAGGGCCTAGATCCCCCATCTCTCTGCTACCCACTCCATACCCCACATTTACCGCTTTAGAGGAGGGAGGACAGTCAGCCACCCTCTCACTTGGCTCCTTCCCTCCATTATTTAAGCTTTAGTTTAAAACAAAGTTTCCCGCCCCTCTGCTTGCAGAGAAAACCTTTTGGGGGTGTGGTGCTGCCTGCCTGAGTCTGCAGCCAGCCAAACACTGGGCTGTGTTCTGCTCCCACTCGTCTGCATGTAAACTCGGTTCCAGGGAAGTCAATAGCACCACACCGCTGTAAAGCCAGTGAGAGTTAGGTCAGACTTAGGCTACCTGGCTCTGAGAGAGGGGGGCCTTGATGCCGGAGACTAACAACAATTTCAACTCCCCCCCCACTTATTTAGCCCACCGCTGCCCGGTCTAGCAGAGGCTTGTCCTGGAGTATCTTAGATCTTCACTCCGCACCCCCCTGCCCCTGCCACACACAACTCCTTTGCTTTGCTTTCCTCTGCACCACCCACTTTGGTAGGCCTTATTCATTTGGGCTGATGTGCTGTCTAATACCTGTCAAAGAAAAAATCCCAGCTTGGAGGTTTGTTTCCCTTGCTGCTACAGGCAGTAGCATCACCCCCAATGCAATTTCTCTCCTGATGTCTATTTCACAGTGGGCTGGGTGAAAGGGAATGGGAGATCAGTGGCAGGGGAGGTGGGAAGTACATCCATCATCACCACCTCTGCATGGCGGGTGGATGCTTCTAATGAGAGAGAGAGAGCCCAGGGGTATGTAAGTTTCATCTGTCTGATGCTAGAAGCAGGGCAGCGGTGACCTCGTGGGAACAGATTGGCACAGAGGCAGCTGCTACTGCCTGGGAACTGCTGTGGAGCCGGGGCTCAGAGACGAGACAGAGCGATCCCAGCCCTCTAGGGAGAGAGCAGGGAAGCAGAGCAGAGACCACCAGCCAATGTCAGCTTAGTGCTCCAGACGGGAAGCGGGGAGATGCGTCCCTGG